TTCCTTTTTCTTTCCCTTTTTAGTTGCTGAGAGAGGGGTCCAGTCGGTGCTTTACGTTTCTTTCTTTTTTTTTTTTTTTTGGTTTTTGTTTTTGTTCGTTCTTCAGACTTACACAAAAGTTTTCTTCTTCCTTTTCTTTTCTTTTAGCCTGAATTTCTATGAATGTAAATGCACCCTTTCGTTCTTTGGGAGGATTTTGTTGTTGTTGTTGTTGTGGTCCTTCTTTGCGCTGCGTTGGTTTCCTTCCTGCCTTCTCCCCCACCACCCCGTTGTTCTCCAGCTCTCCCTCCCTCGCCTACTAAAGAAGCCTTGACGCGTGTTATGTGTCTAGCGGGAGAAGTGGTGGAAAAAAAAAAAAAAAAAAAAAAAAAAGAGACATGCGTGTGAAGCAGGCGGTCGTTGCATAATTTGCAACACCGACACAAGAGCAGGCAGAACAACAACTAATAATAAAAAACAAAACGACCGACTTTATTGCTCCCTTCTCTGCAAGTTTGTAGTCTCCAGCGTATCCACCCAGTTGCATTTCGTGTCATTGAATTATAAGTGTCTCCTCTCGTCTGCTTTTTTTTTTTTTTGCTGAAAAAACAAACAAACAAACAGCGCACTCTACAACTAAAACCCGCTCATACACACTCACGCACACGGAAACAAGAAAATAAATCGGCATATCAACAGATATATAGAAATATATAGAAATATATAATCTTCATTATGCGGGCTGTTCAAAATTCCGCAGACGCAAAAAGACACAAAATTCTCAAAAAAAAAACAAAAAAAAACAACGCAAAATTGCATATATAGTTTCTTTAAATATAATAAATATTCCTTAGGGTTTTCTTTAATCTCCAATCACAAGTAGCTCTAGTGAGCAAACATCAAAGGCGTAGCTCAATGTCGAATCGTCCTTCGTTGCTCCTTCTGCTGCAACATCGGAGGACCACGACAGAAAAGATGACGAGGTGCTCCAATGTGTAAGTGGCGGGGCGTCAAACGTGGCACATGCTGCAGTGGAACCATGCGTTATTGTGTCGTTGAAGAAAATACTGCAACCACCGCCGCCTCCAATTGCAAGACTATGTGACATGGTGTTGATAAACTGTTGATTCCTTCCTGTGGCTCGATATATACGTAATTGTGGTGACGCCGATTGGGAGGCGGCTGATGATAGTAGTAACTGAAAAACAAATGTCCCACTGTTACCGTAAAACCGGCGCGTCCCTGTGTGTAAAGGTTCTGATAAACATGCACCAATCACAAGTTTTGTCGGCCCATCCTCGTCACTTGTTGATGCCCTCCGGTTTGTTGTCATAAGTTCAATTACAAGAAGCATAGGCGATATTCTTCCATGCTCCCGTGACGCATCGGCTTCTCGTTGACTGCACGACAGCATAGCGTTGAAGCTAAATCCATGATGACGACTGCTGTAAATAAGTCTCCAGGGCATGAACTGCCATATACTCGGCAACTCCTCGTGAAGAAGTTGTCGTGAATTGGGTGTGAGGACACTCATGCAGTGGGTATTACTCTCAGCTGTCATCTCTTCGCCATTAGCAGCGGCGTTTTCTGCTGCCTCTTGTCCGCGTAGCAGATCATCCACAATTTGCCGTGTTGCCTGCAGTGCCTCTGCAGAACCCGAAGTAAAGGCTGAAAAATCAAAATGAATGGGCGGTGTATACGTTGAGACTGGAGAATCCCACAACCGAGCAGCCGACCCCTCCGCTTCGCCCTTGTGTTCCTCCGCGACATTTTCATTGTTTTTCATGACATCGGCAGCTGGTGGAATTGAGTTCCTAGTAAAAATGGTGTCATGCAAAAATTCCTTCTCAGGATGTGCGGCCCTCTCCCCATGGTGCCCAATATCTGCACCGTCACGCCGCGGATTATCCCGCACCACGGACATGAACGTCCCTCGCTCCAATGCTGCCAAAAGCTTAGAGGTACGGACACGACCCGCACTCAGGCTCCTCTCATGTTTCCATACAGGCAGCCACTCGTCCCCGGCATGGACCTTGAGCTCACTCATTAGCATCCTCGCAGAATTGTTGAGCTCTGGGATAACAATGTCAAGAAGTCCGTCACTGTCATCAGTGCTGCTATGCGGCACCAATGAAACTAATGACTGGGATTTGCTATATCGGCAGGCAATAACCAATAACCGCCATTCCAAATCTTCCGAACTCTTGCAGGAGCCATCAACCAACTCTTCTTCCGGTAATAACGGAAGCCCAACCCCATGCAAGGACGGAAAGCAAAGATCACCTGGCCCTTTTTCCGCCCGTAAATATTCCTTTACCTCAAAACATTGTGGTAACAAAAGAATTGCACGCAGTTCGCTGCTCAAAAAAGAAGATTTTCTAGCGGCTTCGGTATCTTCACCCCCCTCCCATGAGCCACCCACACTTTTCATAATGAATCGAGCCGTATTCTGCATTCTATTTGCAAAAGAACTTGACCATGTCGAACGCTTCTCTACTGGCTTCATCCCATCCCCTACCGCCCCTCGATGTATCGCGTTTGTTTCTCCGGCTGCAAAAGCGCGCCGATAAAAATTGCTGCTGCGAAATCCCGAGGCAAATGCTTGCGTCATGCCAATAACTTGCACCGTGAGCCACGAAGGTCCCACGGAACTGTCGGAGTCATCATTTCTTACATTACTTTCGTCATCATACCGAACATGCCAAGCGGGTGGAAATCCATGCTGTTCCAATTCTTCCACGCCTGACAGTTTCGCAGAACTAAGAAAGCAGATTAGCTCATCGCACACCTGGTGCACTGCCATCTCAACTTCCATGGGCGAGGGGGACCCTGACGATACGGACGACTCCACGGTTACAATCACACGTTGGGTAAGATAGTACTCAACAACAAGCATCGCCACCGTTAATACCTCAGCCGTGGCATCTGTATGAGGCTGCCCTCTTTTGAATTCACGCTCTTCCCAGTTTACACAGTCGCTTTGAGGCAACACACACTGCGCCTGCCACTGAAGGGCACTGTGAAAGTGTAAAAGAAGAAACAAGACATCCTGCGGCGTGGTGCAAAGAAGTAACACAGCACACAAATTGCGCAAACAGACAATGCGGCACAGAAGCGGATAAAGACGTGCCGACTCTTGATACTCTCCCCGAGGCCCTTTTAACTTGCCGCCCTCATCTACGTGTGCTGATTCAAAAGGGTCGGATCGGCCCACGTGTGTTTCCAATGAAATCCTTTCGCCGTATTCCGTGAAACGATGCCGCGTCATTAAACCGCACACGCCATTAACGCCTTCTTTTTCAGTCCCCTTCTCCGTTGCACCCGCAAGGATAAAAAGACGCTCCAAGTCAATCTCACACAGCCACTGATGTGCCTCTTTCACGCATCCCTTCTGCCACAAACAAAAAGCGGTGTTCCACACCAACGAGACAAATGTGAGGGAAATGAAGTATGGCGGCATCGGATTGCCACGTGCAAGAAAAAACTCTTTGGACAGTACATTAGGATGCATTTTAGACAATATCGAGGCAGCCCAAGGTGATGTCGCCCTTTCAGTCAGTTCGGAGGTCTTTATAAAGTGCGACAGTGAAGAATCTCCTTCCCTGCGGTATTCCAGCGACAAAACTGTCATCAGCAACTCCTCCACGGTGCAGCATTTTGTGGCAAGCAGCTTCATCACTAATGCAAAATCATAGGCAGCCACAAAATAGTGTTTGCATGCAGCCGCGGAAAAAGCATTACGAAGGGACATTTTCATTAGCTGCAAGTCGGTCCAAATGGCGTTCGATTCTTCCCATGGAGTCCACGATTCAATGCCATGATCCTCCTTCAACTTTGAGAGAACCGCAATTCCATTTTTCTCCTTTTCCGCGTCCTCCGGAAATGATGGAAATATATGGAGCGGATATTCAAGTTTCATTCCTCCCGATTGATCTTCGTCTTGTTGATGGAGTTCCATCATGACATCACCTTCTCCTCGCAAAGAATAAACTAATTTCTTTTGAATTAGCACAGCGTTGTCAACAAGGTGTTGACCACGGTCTCTCAGCTCACTGAGAATCGTTGCTGCCTCCCTCACAAGATAGTCAACAGCCGCTGACCCGGTCGCATCCATGCCATCCGTAGGCGCTGTCGCAGCCATCACTCCTCTGTCTCGTTTTGCCGCTATAAAACGAAAACACCTGAGAAGTCGCTCTTTTGCAAGTTGCATCTGTGCCAATACCTCGTCCCCATGGGAAAGAAGGTACATGACCCGAAAGTAACTGCTGTGAACAGATGTATCACAGACTGCCAGTGCATGTAACAACTCAACCTCGCTTCTCTCAATAGATTGCCACAAGTGCAGCACCTTCTCGTCGTCCACGATGCATTTTCCAAATTCATCCACCACAGCGTCGATTTCATCCATGCCATCTTGACAGCGCTTGATACATTCCTCGAGGTGCCTCACATGCTGCATACGTCGTCCTCACCTTAGTGCGGCAGACGAATACTGTTAAGTGCACGGAGCAATGATTCCACACGCACAAGCACAGTGCCTTACGGGATAATATAAAAATATTCACAATATAAGCTTGTCGAGATAAATATTTCGGTCCCCAATTGGAAGAGTTGGGAAAAAATCTGTACGGTGCACCTGCAATCACAGAAAAAGAGGGGGAGGGAAAAAGAAAGAAAGAGAGTGAGAAAAATATCGTTTAGGAAAAGAAATGCACAACTACGGCAAGAAGAAACAAATTCCACACACACAAGCACGGGGAAAAAAAGCGAACAGTCGGTTATATATAATAAAAATAAAGAATACAAATAATAAAAAAAGAAAAGAGCATAGATTCCACACAGTGGAACTCACACAGCGACGCTTGGTGTAGACACACGCCTAGTCAAACAAGCCAAAGCCCATATCGTCATCTTCCTCCTCCTCCTTTGTGTCCTTTGCTGGCGCAGCACCGGCGGCTGCGGCAGCAGGGGCGGCACTGCCAGCGGCAGGAGCAGCAGCGGCGCCCTCTGCAGGTGCCGTAGCAGCGGCAGCAGCAAAGAGAGTCTCCAGCGGCTTCTTTTCGAGAAAGCGAGCAAAAATAACGGGCAGGGTGTTGCGCACCTTCAGACCGGCAGCCACACACGCGGCCTCAATGCCCTCCGCTGTGATGGGCAGACCCGCGTCGCTAAGCATGAGGGCGGCGTAGGTGCACGCCAGCGTGTCGTTCGCTTCAACCTTATCGGCCATAATTCCCTTTCTTGAGTGAGCGCACGTATGAGATCTGCCGAAGCGTGGGGCAAAACGCGATAAAAAAGTTATCACAAACAAGAACACAAATATATAACTAAAATTTAGAAATTCATCAAGGTGTCATGCAACCAACAGACGGGAACATCTCACCCCAAATTACACTGGGTGGTTTTAAAGTTGCAAAATAAATAAAT